TGCACACGCACGCACGCACGAACGTGTACCTTCACACGTACGCATGCACGCAGGTGAACGTGCACACGCACGCAGGCACGTACGCACGTGTACGCTCACACACACGCACGTGTACGTTCACACGCACGTACGCACGTGTACGTGCACATGCACGCACGTACGCACGTGTAAGTGCACACGCACGCACGCACGAACGCACGTGTACGTACACACGCACGTGTACTTGCACACGCACGCGCGCACGTGTACGCACGCACGTGTACGTGCACACGCACACATGCACACACGCATGCACGTACGTTTACATACACACGCACGCACGCATGAATGCACGCAGGTGTACGTGCACACGCACGCACGCACGTATACGTGCACATGCATGCACGACTTATTCACCGGCGATTTAATCGCCCGATTTAATCGCCTAGTGTGTCCACTCGACTCGCGCGATAGAATCGGGCGATTTTGTCGCCCGATTTTATCGCCTAGTGTGTCCGGCCCTTTAGGAAGGCGTAAGTACTAGGTGGAGGATGACCGAGCCCTTGACTGGAGGTTGAACAACCATTCGGAGACATTGAGATCCTATTTTTATACCTGAACCTTCCCTGCCCATGCAATATGAGAGCATTCAACTTACTGTAAGACTTTCCCCGAAGATATACTCCACTGTACAATGTACTTATCATTAGAGCAGCTAAACAGTGAATCTGACATATTATCCCATGCCAAGCAGTTGACAGCATCACTGTGACCACCATCCTAAAGCAAAGAAACAGAATATTAACACAAACACTAACATAACTATATTTAATAAAGCCACAAAGAAACGTAATTGGTACTGACGTACCCGTAGCCTCTGCGTAATTAGTTGATGTAATGTTACCTGACACACGGTCTGGTAAAGCCAAATTTCTTGTCGGACCCGTGCAAAAAGCACCGGTTTTGTCCGACGGTCTGACGCTTTTGGCGAGGACTGCTAGCTTACATGTTAGTTTTAGATAAATGCTATGCACAGTAATATTTACCCATAATGTCGACAGAGTAATGTAATGAAGGAAATGGAGGCTTATGAATGTTGGCGAAATCAGTAAGGTGTGCTGTATCTGGAACAACCTAATTTTTGTTGGAAAGATTTAAATACATAGCTACTTTACAGTGCTATTCGTAACCAAACACTGGAAACATTACTCTGCACTACAACACAATTTGTATAATGAGTGTGAGAGACAAATTTACCTTCAACAGACTTCTGGTGTCGATATCCCAAAGCTTGATGCACCTACTAGCTGACAGTAACTGCTTTCTATCAGGGGACAGGCACACGGAATACACAGCACTCTTATCTCCCTTCCACTTGCTGCAAAAAACAGCTCTTGTCAACAGGCATAGCCGCATAGGGATAGTAGCAAAATATATAAACAGTACAAATATAAAACTTGTAAATAATGAAGTGGCCTCACATACAACCTGGAATGATCACTGGGCTATACAGCACATTAATGATACAACTAAGCATTAAAGAAAGTATTGCGAGATTTTTGCTCAGAAACACTCAATCCGAAAAAAATATAGCTGAATTTAGTCTCACCTGACAGCGGAAACATCACTGATTACACCAACATTAAAAACGCTAAGATTTTATGCAGTTTTAGCATAGAACAATGAATTTGACCACATCGTACCAGCTCAGGATATTATCGTATGCCGACGATCCAAAATACAAATGGTGCCTTCAAACCAAAGGCCGTGCAATTCTGTGTGGTAAATGTTATTGACTTTTTATGTCAATAATTCAGAGCACTTTCTGTCATTGTCATTCTCGTGTTACTATCTGACTGGTAATCCACAAGCTTCTCTAATAACAGACTTTACGCGGTATTAGTAGAACACTGCTGTTACGCTAGTATGAACCTCTGTGTTTACACTCTGACCCGATTTCTAATGTGCGACGGTATGCATTACTGCACCGTGATAGATGTCTCGCGCTACCGTGAGAAAGTCCGAGAGATGGCAACGGTAAACAGAAACAGAACGCAAAATTGTAACCGTGCATGATTTGGTGAATACGAAGGTTCTAAGGCATTTTATCGTTACTCTAACCAATTGCTGTTACTCAAGCAATAACGCTAGGTATCCTGAAAGTGAGGAAAACACTGGAAAACTCTCGCAATAATTACTTTAACCTAATGAATTAACACAGAATCAGAAATTATTCGTGTTGTGCTGTACATTAGTACAGAACATGACTTCAAATGCAAGTCACCCGATCTAAAGAAGCTGGCCAACTCAAGACGCATTTTCAGAGAAAAAGAAGGAAGAGTGTTTGCATGCATACAGATAATGGTGGCCATTTCACCTAATTAATGCTAAACTAATCGTTAGCTTTGCATCAATTCCAGAGTGCATGTAAAGGGCCAGACACACTAGGCGATTAAATCGCCCTGAAATCGCCTAACTAGTGTGTCCACTCAATCGCCGCCGATTTCATCGCCCGATTTCATCGCCCGATTTCATCGCATAGATCCAGGCTTTCAGATTTGAAAAGTACAGGAGGACTACTAATGACGCCCCTAGAACACCATAGGGGGACTTTTCACGCTCCATAATCACACCCTTAAGAGGTATGATGGAGAGCTCCATTAAAAAATCACACCCTTAAGAGGCATAATGGAGAGCTCCACTAAGGGTGTGATTTTTAAAAAGGTCTGCCGTTG